TTTAGCACTTATAATGTAATTTTTCTTGGCAATTACAGTGCATATCGTTGATATAGATTTGTTGTACTGCCTAGCTTGTTCAACAACCTGTGTACCATTTTCATGTTTACGAATGATCTCTTGTTTTTGCTCTATTACCATTCTCGTATGTGCTTTCTTAGGTTGAACCTTACCACTGACCTTCTTTGGACCCATGGGGTGATATATAATAATTACTTTTATGTTCAAAACCTCAAAAAGTAAAAAACAATGAAATTCTTTACAAAGAATTCATGCGTGATTGTTACTAAGCGGGAGGCACTGATAAACTGAAGCATGAGCAACTGTGCCACCTGGAACCACGCGCTAGGTCGTCCATACGCATATCAACAAACTACGCTATCTGAAGCAAACCTTATAAGCCAATTCACATTTTACGATGAAATTGGGGTCGTTACCTGAAAAGTTTGTAAATAGTGGCATTCATAAGCTGAGGTGTCACTGTACCTCCTAAACTAAGATCATAGTTTTCTAGACCTGATCAATACAATGGGGCCTCGACTTACGATGCTAATCCGTTCCCAGAGACGGATCGTAAGTTGAAATATCGTAAGTCGAAGTGATTTTTCCCATAAGAAATAAGGGAATTGAATTAATCCGTTCCCCACCCTCCAAAATATTAACATACAAATACATTTTCTACTTAATACAATGTTTTTTTCTAACTACAATACAGTACCAAAGTTTCTCTTACCTTTATGGAGGGCTCTTGATGGTGTATGGAAGATGGTGATGAGGGGGGAGGAGGAGAGTTGTTACTGTTTGGAAGGGGAGTCCCCTTCCATTATCACATCAGGCAGTGATGTTTTCTCTAGAGTACTCTCTGTCCTATGTTTTGCCTGAATACCACTAGGACCTGGTTGTGGTTCAGTGCTTGTTTGTCTCACTACAAATTTGTCAAGAGACATTTGTTTTTTCCCTTCGTTTTAACATTTGTCTGTAATGATGCATCACAGTGTCATTGAATAGGTTAAGGCAACGACCTACTGCAGCTTGATTTGGGCGAGTCGTTTCAGCAAAGGTTTGCAATTCTTCCCATGCTGCACACATTTTCTTAATTGTTGAGGAAGAGACATTCTGTACTATTGTTTCTGCTCTATGGTCATCCTTACATATGTTGAGCCTTACAACTGACTTTCATGGGACTCATGGCGTGATATATAATAATTACTTTAATGTACAAAATGCAGAAAATCACCACAAAAGCGGAATTTCTTATAGGCGCGATCGTCACTCAGCGGGCAGCTGTAGTAAACTGAGGCAGGTCGGCGGTGTGATTGGGAACCACATGCTCGGTCGACCCGAACGTGTACCAACAAATATCGGGAGTAGACGACACCATCGGATGTCGAGTCGCATTTTTCTATGAAATTTACATCGTAACTCGAAATTATCGTAAGTAGGGGCAATCGTATGTCGAGGTGCCACTGTATATAAAAAAAAGGGCATTTTTTTTATCAATAAATTTTTCATGTCTAACTTAAAATGAATATGAAATACAGTACAGTATAGGATTTTATTTGAAATATGCTTTGTGGCTTTCCCATGATACTAATGGTTTTTCAGTGTTGCTGTCATCTATACAGATCATTAAAAATGTTATGAGAGCTATATTAGAGGAGTTACCATTTATACCATAATTTGTACTATGCTCATTGAGAAAATTTCTGTGTAGTTTTAATTTCCACTTATCGTGTTGGACAACTATCAAGAGAACCTGACCATAGAGGTACATTACCCTCATTGCCCTTTTTAACCCTTAACCCTTAAACTGCACAAAACGTCATGTGATGTGTGACACTGAAGGGGGTATAATTCGAAAAATATTCAAATTATGTAAAAATTGCTTAATATTAAACAAATCTTCAACTTATTGGCTTCAGCTTCGTGAAACTTTCATCAAAATATTTTCAGAAATTGATTTCAGACGAATATTTAAAAAAAAAAGTTATGTTGATAAAGAGAGCGGCTCCTATTAATAGCCGAGTGCACAGCTGTCTGTTCTACAATCCCTATAGAATGGATTTTTCATTAACTCTAAACGTTTGGAGTTATAAATTTTTGTTGTCTAAATTTGCACATACATTTCAAAATCTGGTTCAAATGCCACACACCATATGAGGTTTTGCGCAGTTTAACGGTTAACCTTCGTGCTGCACGGCCTTTGTGACATTCTGGTGGTGCACAGAAAATAGTCTCTCTCCCCCCCTCCCCCCCCCCCCCATTTTTTTTCTTTGTATATTATTATAAACCTTTCCCTGTACATGTACACAAAAAAAAAAAAAAAAAAAATGAAAAACAACCTTGGCTGTGGCAACGTGGAAATGCTGCGATGTGACGTTATCAATACGTGTTTGCCCGCGCAGGAAGCTCCCAGAGGCGGTCACGCAGGCGTTTCATGACCCGCAAGTTGCCACAAATATATTTTCATTAATTTTTTCAGTGCTTTCTAATTTATTATTATTATTATTATTATTATTTATTATTATTATTTTTATTATTTTATTTTTTAAATCGTATCTGATGCAAATTTGTGTCCTTTACAATATGTACGCAGTAGAACGTTCATAATGTTCCAAGGAATTGTGATACATGTCACTAATGTTTCCACAAAAAATGTCGTAGTATTACATGTTCAGTATTCAATTTATTTACACTTTACACTGTATTACACACTCAGTACTTCGGAAGCGAGTGATAACCAAAGCAGCAGTCTATGGTACACAGCGCAACTTTGCACTTGATGCACCAGGCACACACAGATTTTCGCTTCCTGTTTCTTCATTCAATGTGCTTGCAAACAACGCACTCGTGTACACCCTTGGCTTTAGTTCCTGTAGGTGGTATGTAGCCAAACTTGTGAAGTGTAAGGTAGTCTTGAAAAGATCTAGGAAAAGATCAATGACAAAATTCTGTCCTGGTATCACTTGTATCTTGACCTGTATATGGGAAAGGAGGTGCAACATCAGAATCAACAAATTGTGGTTTGTGTGGTACAAAATTATCAGTCCTCCCACGCAAAATCACCCGTGCTCCTTGTACAAGCACCACCACCACTGGGCTAGTAACACCATGGTGGTAGTTGTTAACACACTGTTCATCTATGCTACTTGTATCAGAAGCAGCATCACTGAACCCAGAAAATGATTTATCTATAAAATCTACCTTATTAAAAAATTTGAGATGACACGGGTGGTGGGGATAATGGTGACTGATGACTTGGGGCTCAGCCTCTACTGGATACTCTTGCTGTATCACTTGTGTTAGGTCTTTATTGTGCCTTGCTTCATCAATATCACTTCCCTTATCTTCAAACAATAAGATCTGAATTTCGCCGTCAGAGAGCGATCTTTCAACACTGTATCTGACGGGATTGGGAGCAAGAGGCACATGTGCCACCCATGGTTGCTGGACCAGAACTGAGGCTACCTGTGACCCTGGGGTATTCTGGGATTTTTTTCAAAATGGCTGCCGCTCACTGGAGGCCTCAGGCCTCCATATCGTATCCAACCTACCGCACGCACGTTTTGAATCTTAAGATATCTTGAAATCGGGTTTCCTCACGTTTTCAAGGTAAAGTATACAGTATAAAAAAAAATTGTGACGTACTTTGACCATGTTGGAGCAGAAAAGTTGAATTTATGGGTGCCGAGTTGTCTGTGGCACACTAGCCCCATCAACCCCATAGGGTGGCAGATGCTGCCAATATAATTTTTCATAATTATTTCAATGTCTCAATGGTTCTCTCCCCCCCTTTTTCTATAATATTATTCAAAAAGGGTGTAATTTGATGCATTTATATAATCAAATGTGTTACGTCAATATACTCAAATATGGTGCGCATTAGTCCACACATGTAGCATATTCTTAGGATAATAAAAGTAAACAATAAATGTAAACAATACTGCCATAATTGAGGAAAGATGCAATGACTTTTTAAGTGGTTGCATAAATGCTTAATGAAAGTGCTGGTGTCTCGGGGCTCCACCTGGCTGCTCCCAGCAGACCCTATTAACTGCAAAAATGGGGGAAAGGTGAGAGTGGGAAGGAAGCCACTCAAGTCAACACCTTGAAAGAGGCATCTCGTTACATTCAGCATTAGTTTTTTTGTTTAAATTTTGAATGGAGGGCTAGTGGCCAAATTTAGTATTATGTTTAGAGGAATTTGTTACAAGAGAGTATGAAGTTGGGAGGTGCCACTGTCCATGGTAATGCACCTGGCCGACAATGTGGTATTTGTAAATTTTTTGTTTATTTCCCATTACAATATAACTTTTTATTTTACATGAGCATTTATATAGACCCCTTAACTTGACATCTGGTTCACCCTACAGTGCCAGTTCTGCTTCCCCAAAATGGCTCACTAGATAAAGTACTCAGAATAGATGCTGAAGCTTCAGCATTCAATCACGCTCAAAAACATATTAACATATGTTTTTGAGCGTGTTAATCTTGGTAGGGATGTATCACGTGTTTTCAGAATGAATTAAAGTTTATAAAGGATTTGAATACTCATGCCATACAATCAGTATTATGGTCATTTTATACGAGTGCTGTGGGTGGTATCTGGTAATCCACGTGATAAATAGTATCTCGGAAATCTGGTGAAAGTTTTGAAAACTGTTTTTGTGGTCCAGGCAATTGTATTCTTCCTCCTCCATAACTCAGTCGCGGCAAATATTTAAAGTAATGGATAGTTGACGGTCAAATGTTGAATTTGTGACTACTGCACAGTATGTATATCTGCATTTATGTACTGTATATGCAAGTTTTATAAGTGTGGATGTTTCACATATCTCATGAAATTTATTATTATTATTAAGTAATTTATAACAAATTTTTAAACTGTAAAAACAATGCTGAAGTACACTTGAGGGCAAACAGTGCTGTTTTATTTGTAAGTAGCCTGTAATGTACTTTTTACAGCTGCATATTCTAGTAACTCATTTCCTGTATTTCAGTTGGATTGGATGCAGCTGGTAAAACTACAATTTTGTACAAGTTAAAATTAGGAGAGATTGTTACAACAATTCCAACTATAGGCAAGTATCTTGAGAAGTGACTAATATAATATTAATAAAATACAATTTGAAAAATATTTTTCATGACATATATTGTAATGTAAAATGGAGCAAGATTTGAATTACAGTACTTTTTAATAATTTTACAGGGTTTAATGTGGAGACTGTAGAGTACAAGAATATTAGCTTCACGGTGTGGGATGTTGGCGGCCAAGACAAAATTCGTCCACTTTGGAGGCACTATTTTCAAAATACTCAAGGACTCATCTTTGTAGTTGACAGTAATGATAAAGAGAGAATAACTGAAGCTTCCGATGAATTGGCGAAGATGGTATGCATGAAATTCTTAATTTGATGTATTGTTTACCAGCAGAAATAGCATAATTTAGTAATCATTTTGTTAAGGACAGGAAGCCTGCATATATAATTTAGGCCTGTATCGAGGTCCCTCAAGATTGAATTACAGACCCTCTCCAGGATGCAACCCCACAGTTGCCAATCTCCTGGGAACCTGTTTCCTGCTAGATGGACAGAGGCATTAGATGAAAGGAAATGTGCCCAACCATTTCTGTTCTGCCCAGGAATGAAACCTGGGGAGCTGGTCGGCCGAGTGGACAGCACGCTGGGCTTGTGATCCTGGGTTTGATCCCAGGCGCTGGCGAGAAACAATGGACAGAGTTTCTTTCACCCTATGCCCCTGTTACCTAGCAGTAAAATAGGTACCTGGGTGTTAGTCAGCTGTCACAGGCTGCTTCCTGGGGGGTGAAGGCCTGGTCGAGGACCGGGCCGCGGGGACACTAAAAAGCCCCGAAATCATCTCAAGATAACCTCCCCAATTTTGAGTAAAGAACAAAGCCAACTGTACCACAATACAGTTGTATCTTTTCCCATCTTGAATTCGTCAAGTTGGTGTCCAAACTTGAATTTGAATGCGTCAAAACAGTGTGTCTAATCTTTGTACAGTATAATGGATATAATCAAAATTAATATAGAAAAATCTACTACAAATGTGTAATAGGTTTTCTTTATCAATTTTAACTTCTTGCTTATTTGTCACTTATATAAGTCCTGTACAGTACTGTATACATGCACAGGAAGAAAAGGATTAGGGTAGGACAGTGGAATCGTACCCGTTTTAAAGTCATCCCAAATACCTTGCTCAAAATATTTTCTCATCATGCTATTGTGATATCATTGTGTACATAAACCGTGGCTTTATGCACAAAAATATTTAAATATTCAGGGTGAGTGGGGTGGCAGGTACATGACTGCTTAACTAACAAATGGCCTCTTGATATCTTCCCCACACACACCCTATCCTTCACTCCATTAATTTCCTCCCATCCAATCCCTCTTCTCCTTCCTGGATGGGACTAATACCATATTTGGTCTCTCTCATATACCCAGTTATGGTTTTGGTAAGTGTTTTAATCAATGATATTTTTAATGTCTTCTTTAGTTAGTTTTAATGTATGTCATTTTTGTGCTTGGACAGCTTTGACAAATTCATTTGTTGCCAGTGTTTAAATAAAATATGTAAGTACTTGTTTAAATATAATATGTAGGTTGTAATGCAGCCAACCACTAACATAACCCTCAGTCATCATTTAGAAGTTTCCTCCATCACAATTCCCTCACACATTCCTGCCTCACACATACATTCCATCTCCTCCTGCCTCTTCCCATGTATGCATTCCATCTCCTCCTGCCTCTTTTCACGCATTTATCTTCCCCACATCATTACTTAGATGATTGCCATGCCCTCCAAGAAGACCTGGACAAAATAAGTATATGGAGCACCACTTAGTAAATGGAATTTAATGTGAATAACTGCCATGTTATTTCTGTCACTGTCACCTGAGGACAACATTAAGAACATTGTGCAAGGAGCCTATGCTACACTTTCTAACTTCAGAATTGCTTTTAAATACATTGATGGAGAAATATTAAAGAAATTGTTCATGACTTTTGTTAGCCCAAAGCTGGAATTTGTAGCGATTGTATGGTGTCCATATCTTACGAAGCACATCAATAAACTGGTAAAGGTGCAATGACATAAAGAAAATGTTGCAGTAGGGGAAGAACTGCAAAGTTTTCCTGAAAAGAATCATCCAGATAAAGCTTTAGCAGGTCGTTGCGTTGATCTTATTAATGACAATATGATGTCTCGCTACAGACAGGTGTTACAAAGAAGAGAAAAACAATCAATGGAACGATTTCTAGTGAGATAAACAAGCAGGGAGCTAGAAGCAGGTCCTAGTGGAATGCAGGCAAAACGTGCCAGTGTGTACCCCAAAGAAGTCATCACTGCTTGATGTTATAATGGAAGGGGACTCCCCTTCCAAACACTAACACCTCTCCTCCTTCCCCCCCCCCCCCCCCCCCCCCTCACCATCTTCCATATGCCAACAGGAGTCATCAGTAAGGTAATAACTTGTACATACTTTTGTACTGAAGATTTGGGTGAATTAGGTATAAAATTTACTTTCAAATTAATTTTTTGGCGAGTCTGGAATGGATTAATTCATTTTCCACTTTCTTACGGGGAAATTTGCTTTGGGTTACGAGCCATCTCTGGGAACGGATTAAATTCGTAAGTCAAGGCACCACTATACTTAACAATACAATGGTACCTCGGAATACGAGTGTCCCTGTATACGAGTTTTTCGGAATACGAGCAGGATTTCCTCGGAAAATGTGCCTCAGAAGGCGAGGGTTACCTCGGAATCCGAGTTTGTTGATACGTGTACAGGCCAAACTAGCACGTGGTGGTACGGCGATCGTCGCCCCTCACCCCTCAGTTTTCCAGTGCCTGGCGCCCGGTGACTATCCCACGTCAATTCTTCACCCGGATTTTCAGTGTTTTGTTGGATTTTTGGTCATTTGACCATAAAAGTTATTATATATCTCACCATGGGTCCCAAGAAAGCCAGTGGTAAGGATCAAGGGAAGAAAGCTCATGTGAGGATGACAATAGAGGAAAAACAAGAGATCATTCGGAAGCATGAAAATGGTACACGTGTTGTTGAACTTTGTATGCAGTACAACAAAGCCAAGTCAACGATATGCACTATACTTGGCAAGAAAAAGGACATTGAGTGCTAAAGTGGCAAAAGGCGTAAGAACGATCACGAAACAAAGACCACAAATACTTGAAGTGGAAAAGTTATTAATTTGGATACACAACAAGGAGTTAGTGGGTGATAGTGTTTCAGAGGCCATCATTTGTAAGAAATCCAGGGTATTGCATGAAGACCTTGTAAAGAAAACCCCTGGAACAAGTGCAGATACGATAGACTTTAAGGCAAGCAGGGGATGGTTTGAAAAATTTAGAAAAAGTGGTATCCATAGTGTCATTGTCATAGTGTCATCCATATCCACCACACCTCTCCTCCTCCCCCCTCCTCACCATCTTCCATACGCCTACAGCATTCATCAGCAAGGGTAAGTAATAACTTGAACATAGTTTTGTAGGTTTATTTAGATGAATTAGGTGTAAAATTTAGTTTGAAGTGAGGTTTTTGGGGTAGTCAGGAATGGATTAATTCATTTCCCATTATTTCTTATGGGGAAATTAGCTTCGGAATACGAGCTGTCTCCAGAAACGGATTAAACTCTTAAACCGAGGTACCACTGTATGTGAAATGGTAGAAACATCTATAGGTATTTATTTTTGTGAGGTAGTGGGTTGGTGTGCAGAGTTATGTATTTTTGTTGAACATGGGCATTAATTTAAAGAGCATGCAGTTAACGAGGGCTCATTGCCATCCTCTTCAACAGTTGCACGAGGATGAGCTACGTGATGCTGTCTTACTAGTGTTTGCCAATAAGCAAGATTTACCAAATGCCATGACTGCTGCTGAACTCACAGATCGTTTAGGACTTAATCAATTACGCAACAGGAGGGTGAGTAAAAATGAGTATTGTATTGTATATGATTGTGCTTTCTCATTACTCGGATAAGGACTTGTTTTGTATTTTCTGGGGGCGAGGAGCCCCTTCGGCTTCCTGGAGCTATCTGGGCTGATATGAGTGTATTAGACCCTAGCAACAGACAAGCGAATGGAGTTCTTAGGCCTATCAGGGGCCACGAGCCAGAACCTGGGCCCCTCAGAGAGGCATGAGAAGCAATGGCCTATAGAAACCCCCGTGTCGCTGGAAGCATTCTGTCTGCCATTGACCAGGTTAACCCTTAAATTGCGCATGGCGTATACGCCATGAGTAACATGTCCCATCGTGCGCATGGCATATATATTCGCCATAGGGTGACAGGTACGATTCAAATGGCCTGTGGCTACACGGGGTTCACATCAGCTTCCTCAGGGCTCTTGTAAACAGACGCCATGTTTAAAAAAAATCGTCGGCATTATTCTCTGGTGTGAGAGCCACAGTACCAAGGCTGGCGCACACAGCATGAGCGTGCGCCAGCCTTGTATTACAGATGACCCCTGACTGTGATAAAAATGACCAGGATTGTGATAATAGCAAGATTGTTGTGATAATTAGCGCTGTAAGTCCCTCTTGTTTTATCTTTTAAGTAGCTCTGGGGAGCTGAAGGGGCTTCACTCAGAAAACCAGCGTTGAATGTAATGAAACGCCATTTTCTGGGCAAGACCTGAAGGCTCCCCGGCAACCCTCCCTCCCTCCCTCCCGGTCGGTGGTTTTCGCATGTTTTGACATCCAGCCTCAGAACTGGGGGTGTGGATAGCCAGTGTGGGGGTCTGGGGCTCCCCCTTTGCCCTCCTAAGGAGGGGAGAGCTGCACAAACGGCGGCGTGGTGACAGTTGTGAAGTCATGCTCATTTCTCGTTTGGGGAGTTCTGTCCAACAGTTTGGCTTTTGGTAGCAATTTTTTAACCCCCAAAACAAACCCTATCTGGGTACCTGACCTGGTCGATGGCAAACATAGAATGCTTTCAACCACACGGGGAGGGGAGGGAAGTTCTATGGACCACTGCTCCTCGTGCCTCTGAAGGAGCCAGGTTCTGGCTCGCGGTTCCTGGTACAATCTGTTCTCGCACTTGCTTATAGTCAATATTGGCTTATTTAATAAGTGCATATTTGACATACTAATTGATTGTGAATATTTTAGTTTCCCTTGAAAAGCTTCATAGAAAACACCGACCTCACTTAACCTTCTTAGTATGTTAAGATAAGCATCTTATTGCTTCTTATTTACAATTATTACTTAACCTATCAACGGTATAGGTTAAGTAATAATTCACATCAGTAATAATTCATATAATATCACATAACCTCTACCTATCAACGGTATAGGTTAAGTAATAATTGTAATTAAGAAGCAATAAGATGCTTATCTTAACATACTAAGAAGGTTAGGTGAGGTTGGTGTTTTCTATGAAGCTTTTCAAGGTAAACTAAAATATTTACAATCAATTAGTATGTCACATATGCACTTATTAAATAAGCCAATGTTGACTATAAGCAAGTGCGAGAACGGGTTGCCCGGTAAGCCTAAGAAATCTATTCGCTTGACTGATGCCAGGGGTCTAATACATTCATATTAGCCCGGATAGCTCTGTGAAGCCTCCGGGTCTCGCCCAGAAAATGGTGAGACATTACACTCAACGCTGGCTTTTAATTTTATCCTGATTTTGTTGTTACCAAGAGCTTGGATCTCAATAAAATGCAAATGTTTGTTTCAAACATGTTTTATCACGGTTTACAAGATTACCTTTTTATAAGATAAATATATTTTTCTATTCACAGTGGTACATTCAGGCTACGTGTGCAGTTCAAGGACAAGGATTGTACGAGGGTCTGGACTGGCTATCTAATGAACTGTCAAAAAAGTAATGTCTATACCATTGTGTTTATCCCATTACCTTCTATAGGGTTTGGGTCCTGGTGTGAACATAGGTATGGATGTCCTTTATCATTTTTTATTCTTTTGCTGTAAACAAAAATCTCAAGACATTGGTTTATGTACAAGTAATGCAACAGTGTAATAATTGACATGGTTTATGTACAAGTAATGCAACAGTGTAATAAATTAATAAAAACAAATTTGGACATACGAGTATACATTTACAATATTTACATGAACTTCAGTGGGTTTTGTGTTTAGAAATAGTTAAATATTTATTTGTGCAATTTTGAGTATTATTAACATTTAAATTGAAAAAAAGATTATTCAACTGGCAATAGACCATACAGTACTTTTGTTCTGCATGCTTGTGTATTTTTGTTCACTGCACTAGACATATTGAGTGAATGTCTGGCATGGTCCACAATGCCCAGCAGCTGTTATCCTGTTCCTTTCCACGTTTGACCGAGTGTTTTGTTGGATGAAGTGCCGAGGTGAATGTCTGTAATGTTAACTTCGGACATCCACATATAAATCCAGAAATTTTAATATTGTTACTGTAAGGTGTGGGAGTGCCAACCTCCCATCTAATGTAGTATGTATATTTTGGTATATAGATTTCTGGTTACTTACACTGGTAACACAATGATGTATTGGCTTTAGGGTTAAAAATCGAGGGGATTTTGAAACCTGTGTGTGGAAGAGTCCATTATCCTAACAAAACATCTTGGGGCATAAGAATCATAATGTAAATATGTGTGTTATGGTGGCATTATGGTTATCCTTTGGTTGGCATTTGTGCTCTCACCTCTGCAGATTTTGTTGTTTAATATCATCGCTCATTATACATATTGTAATATGTTAGCCAGTGGTGCAACTTGTCATAATCTTAGCTTATGATTTTCATGCAAAGTATGTAACTGTAACACTTTAGTATACAAACTTTTTCCCAGGAGAATTTGATTTATTACTAGGACATATTTTATATTGAGAATCATATTTTTTGAACCAAATTCAGCTACCTGGGATAGGCTACATTCCTTGTTGCTATTAGTCTGTCTGTTGTCATCTTTGCTTTACTAAGATGATAAGGTATGTCATAGTTTGTAACTTCTTAAAAATAAACATGTTTAACAACATGTTTCACTTTTAATTCTCCTTGTCTTATTATCCTTTAGAAAATACTTATATATATATATATATATATATATATATATATATATATATATATATATATATATATATATATATATATATATATATATATATATATATAATATAACATCTCTGGAATATATCACAAGTCGATGCATCTAATGTGTATTAAAGATTGAACTGATTGTTCCATTCTTAACATGAAAATAATTTTTGTATGCCCTACCCTTTGTATGCCCACTACACATGGGCTGTGATCAGAAGCAATGTATCAGACTGGAGAAATGTCACAAGTGGAGTACCACAGGGTTCAGTTCTTGCACCAGTGATGTTTGTCTACATAAATGATCTACCAGTTGGTATACAGAATTATATGAACATTTTGCTGATGATGCTAAGATAATAGGAAGGATAAGAAACTTAGATGATTGTCATGCCCTTCAAGAAGACCTGGACAAAATAAGTACATGGAGCGCCACTTGGCAAATGGAATTTAATGTTAATAAATGCCATGTTATGGAATGTGGAATAGGAGAACATAGACCCCACACAACCTATATATTATGTGAGAAATCTTTAAAGAATTCTGATAAAGAAAGAGATCTAGGGGTGGTTCTTGATAGAAAACAATCACCTGAGGACCACATAAAGAATACTGTGCGAGGAGCCTATGCCACGCTTTCTAACTTCAGAATTGCTTTTAAATACATGGATGGCGATATACTAAAGAAATTGTTCACGACTTTTGTTAGGCCAAAGCTAGAATATGCAGCAGTTGTGTGGTGCCCATATCTTAAGAAGCACAACAAACTGGAAAAGGTGCAAAGACATGCTACTAAGTGGCTCCCAGAACTGAAGGGCAAGAGCTACGAGGAGAGGTTAGAGGCATTAAATATGCCAAAACTAGAAGACAGAAGAAAAAGAGGTGATATGATCACTACGTACAAAATAGTAACAGGAATTGATAAAATCGATAGGGAAGATTTCTTGAGACCTGGAACGTTAAGAACAAGAGGTCATAGATATAAACTAGCTAAACACAGATGCCGAAGAAATATAAGAAAATTCACTTGCGCAAACAGAGTGGTAGACGGTTGGAACAAGTTAGGTGAGAAGGTGGTGGAGGCCAAGACCGTCAGTAGTTTCAAAGCGTGATATGACAGAGTGCTGGGAAGACGGGACACCACGAGTGTAGCTCTCATCCTGTAACTACACTTAGGTAATTACATAAGGGGCATAACTGGCCGACCCCTCACAGTGTTCAAGAGAGAACTGGATAAGCACCTCCAAAGGATACCTGATCAACCAGGCTGTGACTCATACGTCAGGCTGCGAGCAGCCACGTCCAACAGCCTGGTTGATCAGTCCAGCAACCAGGAGGCCTGGTCGACGACCGGGCCGCGGGGACACTAAGCCCCGGAAGCACCTCAAGGTAACCTCAAAGTAAGGTTCCCTATCCCCTCCCCCCAACCTTCCACCTTTCCTCTCCTCTCCAAATCTCTACTCCCATTTCCTCTCACCCCCTTTTCCCCCATGGAATCTAATGGAAGGAGGAACCCAGTCCACCATATCTCCTTTGTCGTCTTTCCCATCTCCCCCTTTCTTCCCGACCCTCCCCCCAGTCTCTTGACCCTCCACGCCACCTGTCTGTCCAGACTGATATCCATCATCCTCCCAGCAATCTTCGTGTTATTCGCTCCCGCTCCTCTTGTCCTGCTGAGACCATTGAGTCTGTCGCCCAGTACGTTGTTACTGGAAAGCCTGTCTCTTCGAGTCAGAAACGTAAGCCTGGCTCCTCTCCTTCCTCTCCAGCGGGTAAGAAGGCTTCGCTGTCTTCCTCACCCCGTTTCTCTGACTGTCACTACATCCCCTCCCATTTCAGTTGTCGAACCCCCCTGTCCCAGATATGGAGGTTTCTTTTGCCCCCGATTCCCTCTCAGTTGCTGCCCTTGCTGAGGCGCTATCCCTGCCTTCTGCTTCCCCCTCCAGCAGCTGTCCTTGCCTACCCCTCCTCCCCCTTTGGACCCCGTCAGTCCGTCTCTGGTCTGTCCTCTTGCTCCCTTCCCTCTATCCTTACTAAATTTACCCATGCCCCCTAACCCTGATTTTGCCGACCCTGATCCTGATCCTGGCCCTGAACCTGAGATTCCCCTGATCCTGACCCTGATCCTGAGATTCTTTAATAAACTATGTTCTTCTATACCTTTATTTCTTTCTTGTTCTCTGTTACTGTCCTTTCTCTTTGGTAATGTCTATTCTTCAGTGGAATATTCGTGGATTTTATGCTAACTTCCATGAACTCCAACTTCTAATTACACAGTTTTCACCGCTTTGTGTTTGTCTCAGGTACCCATGCTTGGTGCTCATCCTGGTCACTTTCGTGGTTATTCTTCTTTCTCCCCCCCCCGTAACTCTACTGCTCTCTTAATTCGATCTGATATTCCCTTCGTCCCCCTGCTACTTCCGTCACCTATCCATTGCTGTCTGCTGCTATCTGCTGCCCGTGTTTTTGTGGGTAAATGGTATACAGTCTGTTCCATTTATCTCCCCCAAATGTCCCGCTTTCCCTTCGTGATCTTAAGCACCTCCTGGACTCCTTGCCAGAGCCGGTGCTCCTTTTGGGTGATTTCAACTGTCGACATTCCCTCTGGGGTGATGTTCTGACAAACACCCGAGGCCGTCTTCTCGAACCGTTCGTCCTCGCTTCTTCTCTATCTCTTCTGAATTCTGGTGAGCCCACTCATGTGGACTCTCGAACTCGCACCCTTTCCTGTCTTGATCTATCTCTCTGCTCATTGTCCCTTAGATTTCACGTGGCAGGTTCTTGATGACCTCCATAAGTGATCATTTCCCCATGCTCATTTCCTTTTACTCTTTCCACCCTCCCCTCTCCTTCCCTATGTGGCAGTTTGCCAAGGCTGACTGGTGCCTATTCACCCTCCGTGCTACTCTCTCTGACCTCTCCTCTCTGCCTCTTCCTCGCACCCTCCTCCTTTTTTATGACACTGTCTTCAACACTGCCCTCCATTCTATTCCTCGCTTTTCCTCCCGGGGCACACGGAAGTGCGTTCCCTGGTGGAATGCGGACTGTGCTCGGGCTGTCCGCTGTAAGCGTGCAGCCTGGAAGAAACACCGCCACCGGCAGACGGCTGATTCTTTTATTCTGTTTCGGAAGGCAAGTGCGGTGGCCCGTAGGACCATCCGTACAGCTAAACGTGAGAGTTGGAAGTCTTAGGTTTCCAGCATTACGTCCAATACTCCTCTGCCGCAGATCTGGAAGAAGATCCGCAAGATTGTGGGCAAGTTCATTCCGGATGTCTCGCCGGTTCTCCACCTCCGTGGTACTCTTGTGGCGGATCCAGTGCAGGTCGCGACCGAACTGGGTTCCCACTTTTCTTCTGTTAGCTCTGGCTCTCATCTTCCTCAATCCTTCCTTCCTTCGTAAGCCTGTTCTTGAATCTTATCCTTTAGGTTTCCGCACTCATCTCCGCCTTCCCTATAACGATCCTTTTTCTCTTTCTAAACTTCAGTCTGCCCTGGCCCTCTGCTGATCTACAGCGGCGGGCTCGGATGACGTTCATTATGAGATGCTTCGCCATCTCCCTCCGTGCACGTCTCAGTATTTACTGAGTCTGTATAACCAGGTCTGGGAGTCGTCGTCCGTCCCTGAGGACTGGCTCGATGCCATTGTACTCCCTATTCGGAAACCAGGGTCTCTTGGTATGTCCTTAGGGGACGTAGAGAGAGACCCTGGATTCTAGGGTCCAATATTGCTCTAGGAGCAATAGGACTTCCGCCCTATTGCTCTCACGAGTTGTGTTTGCAAGCTCTTTGAGCATATGGTAAATGTCTGTCTGATGTGGTTCTTGGAACACCATCGCCACCTCTCTCCTTCTCAATTTGGTTTTCGCAAGTGCCGCAGCACGACTGATGTCCTGGTGAACTTGGAGGTGTATATTCGTACTGCTTTTGCTGCGAAGACCTCCGTTGTTGCTGTCCTTTTTGACCAGGAAAAGGCTTATGACACTACTTGGAGATACCATATTCTGTCCCAACTTCGTTCTTTTGGCCTTCGTGGTAATCTCCCTCTCTTCCTTCAAAGTTTTCTCTCTCGTCGTACCTTTCGAGTCAGGCTTGGTGCCACTCTCTCTGCCTCTTTTCGGCAGTATGAAGGTGTGCCCCAAGGTAGTGTTTTGAGTTTTTTTTTTTTTTTTGGTTGCCCTCAATGGTCTTCTTTCCTCCCTCCCTTCTGGCATCTTCTCTGCTCTTTATGTTGACGATCTTACTCTTTGCTGTTGGGGTGATGATTCGCCTCTCCTTCAACGGCGGCTTCAACTTGCGATTGATGCCGTGTCACTTTGGGCCACCAATCATGGCTTCAAGTTCTCTATTACTAAGACTTGTGCCATGACTTTTACTCGGAAGCAGGTCATTCTTCGTCCCTCTGTTACTTTATGGTCATCCCCTTGAGTACAAAGATTCTGCGAGGCTTTTGGGGTTATTCTTTGACACTCGTTTGTCTTGGTCGCCCCATGTCTCTTACCTCCGTGTTGAATGCTCTAAGGCCCTTAACCTACTTAAGGTTTTGTCCGATACTTCTTGGGGAGCGGATAGGCGCACGCTCCTCTATTTGCATTCCTCTCTCGTCCTGTCTAAACTCGATTATGGTTGCCCTGCATAGTCTTCTGCTTCTCCTTCTACTCTTCGCCGTCTTGATCCTTTGCACCATACTGGGTTGCGCCTCAGCTCTGGTGCTTTTCGTTCAACTCCTACCCTCAGCTTGTACGCTGACACTGGCTTTGTCTCTCCAGGATCGTTGTGATCGCTACAGTCTTCGCTATCTTGCGCGATCCTTACAGCATCCTCACTCTCGCCTCTATCGTGCTTTGACTTTTACCCCTCCTGTAGTTCCTGCTCCTCTTCACCTCCTTCCTCTTTCTGTCCGTTTCTCGCTTAAAGGATTCTCTTTCAGCTCATATTACCAATGTTTCTCCTCGT